ATTTTACTGATATTTTTTATTAGTGGATGCTACTTATCAACAAATCACATATAGCCTTATATAAATTACAATGAAATATAATACATAAGAAAATGACTACTCACCACAGTACTGAAATTTTGACTGGAACTATACGTGCATTCAGCACAACTTCGCCGCTTGCATTGTTTTCAAGATGACTGTGGTGCAAAGGGCGGGCTCTGTAGGGTAATTTTTTACCAACACTTGAGTTAAAACGAGGACTTGACGTTTAAACTTCAATATTTCGCAGGAATTGTGAATTTTGACATTGGACACAGAACTGACGGGTAAAAGTGAGTACAATGATTATCAATTTTTTAATAATTCCTATTATTCGAATCTATGATAAAATATGAAAAATACATTATTTAATGTTTTATAGTTTGTAGTATTATTTCTATGATAATAGGGCACAGGGAAACTGCCAATAATTTATAACTACGCTTTGTGCATACGGCGATAAACCAACTAATTAGTGGTAGTATCAGCGCTCTGTATAGTATTATTTTATTAGTGTTATTTTATTATTTATTGCCAAACAAAATTATAATTATGACCATGTGAAGGGAAAATGATACTAATACTACAGCTGCTAAATAATTTAACATATTTATCGATTTGAAAGTTATTGGATAGGTACTTTTAATGTTTTATAATAATAATTATTATAATATGGGAATATTTTAAAATCCAAAAATAGTGTTCAGATATTTAAAAAAATAAAAAAAGACGTGGATTCGCATTCATCTGCGAATAAAACATAATAGAATAATAAAATAAAGCCGATTGGGATTTTATGATATATGAACAGCGGCAGCAGTAGAATCAGTGGGATGGATGTGAATTGTACAAATTCAAAATTATAAAAATGAATGAATTTCAATAATGAAACAAAACAAAATACATTAAAAATCGCTGTTCTTTTCAATTTGCTTAATGGTATGCACTACCAGTGAAATCCATAAAAATCAATGCATAAAATCGAATAATAAAATTTATTCTTTTGAATTAAACCTTAAACAAACGCGCTTTTAATCCCGAACATTAACGCATTCGATTGGGTTATATTCTTTTAATTTCATTCATTTATTTTAAATTATAGAAAAAACAATATTTAGGAAATATTATTTATTATTTTAAAATTGTTAAAATATTCAAAATCTTTAAGTTTCAAAATACAGAAACTTTTTAAAATCTACAAAAATTTTAAAATATCCAAAATTTTTAAAGCTTGGATTTTTAATGCTTAAAAGCAAAATTTACTGAAATTTACTTTGTCATTTTATATATGTACGAGGTGTGTTCAGAAAATATTGGGAATTTTCGTTTTTTGCTACAAATATTTATTTATTCGTCTACATTAAGTTGTCGCCTTCAAAATAGTCCCCATTGGATATTATGCACATGTGCCAGCTCTTCTTCCAATACTCGAAACACTTCTAAAACTCGATCTTTGGGATAGCCTTTAGTTCTTTCAGCGATGCACTTTTAATGTCATCTATGCTTGCAAAACGACGGCCCTTTAAGGTTCTCTTTATTTTTGGGAATAGGAAAAAGTCAGACAGAGGCATGTCTGGCGAATATGGAGGCTGGGGCATCATTACAGAATTGTTTTTGGCCAAAAATGTTGTTCAAAATTTAACAATTTTAGAACAAATTTTGCTGCCACGCGTTTCATACCCAAAACATTCGAAAAAATTTCATGGGATGAGCGAATCGATATACCAACATCATCAGCGACTTCTCTGATGGTTTATAACCATTTCTTCCACTTTTTCCATGTTTTTATCGGTTGTTAATGTGCTTGTGCGTTCGGGGCGTTCGTCATCTTCAACGTCTTCACGGCCATCTTGGAAACTCTTATACCACTTGTAAACTCTTGTTTTACTTATAGCAGACGCACTATAGGCCTTTGTTAACATTTCACAGAATTTGTTCCATTTTTTAAGCAAAACTGGATACAAATTCTTTGATCCATTTCTTTTAACGAACGAAAAATCGCCGAGCTCATAAAACACGTCTAACCTTAGCGGCTGCCACAGACAAAGTAAACAATGAAAACAGCTAAAGTTTTTATCATACTTCGGGGGCATGTATACCAACATAATAAGGAAAATTTTATGACAACCGGACCCTCCGAACCCGCGAAATTTAAAAATTCCCGTTATTTTCTGAACACACCTCACGTACTTCATTTCACCGTACAGTCAAGCAGTTTACTACAAACGGGAGTGTTCAACGAAATAAATACCATTCTTACCATATGGGCAGTGGAACAAATGCAGCAAAATCCAAATCGAAAATGTTATCATAATCTCATGGCCGTAAGTCAATCCGTACACAAGGAAGCAGCGATGATAAAAGAAGGTGATAAAAGTGCCGCGGCATGTAACATGTTAATCGAAGAGGTCGTTGCTACGATCCACGTTGGCCGCGATGAGGAGGAAAGGAGAAGCGCCCGCCGCCTCCGCCACGTGTGATTCATGGGCCGGGAGCGGCGACGGCGGCGGAAAATAAATTATCTGTACGCGGTCGTGACGAGTCGACACGCAGCCGCCAGGAAGCGCTAATAAAAGCCTCATTTGCACAACAATGCTGGCTCGAATTATTCCACTCCATTTCGGTAGGCGAAAGCATTGTCCTTTGGCCACCCCTGCCCCAAGTCCTCCACACGATTGATTCCAAATTTGCCAGCTTTAAAACACTGGTAAAAGGCTTAGCCGAAGACTAATGGTCCCAATTGAAAGAATGTCAAACACCACCGAGAATGTTATGGAAAGTGTAGGCAAGATCATAATTTTTTTCTATTTGTATACCACTTAGGTTCAACCTTTTTGTGGAAAATCTAGTAGTTAATTTTCCTGTCTTTGAAAATAGCATCCATTTGTTTTCAATTTGCAAGGTACTGATCATTAATAGTCCTGGACAATATATACATTATAATTATTATTAAGCCATTACAAGTATTAACGTCCAGTGGCTTTAACAAAATACCCATTCACCATTGGACAAAATTCACGTGTGTTCACATAATATTTTAATTTCTTTTATATAAATTCTTTTCAAAGCGAAGACTATTATCCGCTAGGAATACTTTGTCTCTCCTGGGCCGTAGTCACCTATATTTAACTACTTTTTTATATGATTTTTACTCATCTACGCACCACCAAAGCCAAATTAATTGCATTTTTAACTACGAATTTTGAAAACTCAACTTGACAACCGTTCAATGTAACCTACAATAATTTAAACATAACCACAATTACATTATAACACAGACCACCAAAACAAATGGACGGCGCATTGCCATACAATAACAATGCTTTGTTTGCGGTCAACGAACGGTCACAGTCTAAGCGTTAAATTGGCTATAGAATTTTATGTTTTCTTCCAGTGACATATTGCGTACTCTAAAACAGCTGACATATAACAAATATGACAGCTGACTGTGCATTATAATTACATGTATAACTAGTTTAGTTTGTTTTATTTAATCCAACCAATTTTGGTTCCTTATTTACCAACCAAACCCTTAAATTTGCAACGTTGCCGCAGTCCAGATAAAAAAAATAAAACGTATTTTAAATTGAATTTTTTTTCAACAATAACTTTTTATATAGGATATCAAACGTGAATCAAATGATGACAAAAATGAGCTATACCAGATGTCAGATGGCAAACATTACAAATGTCATATGTCAAAAATGACAAAAACTATTAATCACAGACTTCGTTCATTGCTCTTCTTGTCATCTGTCATTTTTGACATCTCACATTTATTTCAAGTCGCGGATCAAAATCGATATTTCGGCATCAAATGAAACGAACTATATATATATACGAGGTGTGTTCAGAAAATAACGGTAATTGTTAAATTTTGCGGGTTCGGAGGGTCCGGTTGTCATAAAATTTTCTTTATTATGTTGGTATACATGCCCCCGAAGTATGATAAAAACTTTAGCTGTTTTCATTGTTTACTTTGTCTGTGGCAGCCGCTAAGGTTAGACGTGTTTTATAAGCTCGGCGATTTTTCGTTCGTTAAAAGAAATGGATCAAAGAATTTGTATCCAATTTTGCTTAAAAAATGAAATAAATTTTTTGAAATGTTAACAAAGGCCTATAGTGAGTCTGCTATAAGTAAAACAAGAGTTTACAAGTGGTATAAGAGTTTCCATGATGGCCGTGAAGACGTTGAAGATGACATACGCCCCGAACGCACAAGCACATTAACAACCGATAAAAACATGGAAAAAGTGGAAGAAATGGTTATAAACCATCAGAGAAGTCGCTGATGATGTTGGTATATCGATTGGCTCATCCCATGAAATTTTTTCGAATGTTTTGGGTATGAAACGCGTGGCAGCAAAATTTGTTCTAAAATTGTTAAATTTTGAACAACATTTTTGGCCAAAAACAATTCTGTAATGATGCCCCAGCCTCCATATTCGCCAGACATGCCTCTGTCTGACTTTTTCCTATTCCCAAAAATAAAGAGTACTGAGATAAAAATAATTTATTTTAACGATTGTATGACATTTGACATCTGTCAAATAACCTAAAACTTACTTCAGCCCGTGACTAAAAACCTGTTGCTAACTAAAACGCCATAAAGCCACAACTACAAGGTAAATTTGTCTGTGATTTTTTTATCTATTACATATTTTAATTAAGATTTTTCGTTTGTTTTTAAAATAATAATGCTTTGATAATTATCAAAATGATTATAATTAATTATGCCGGCCCCAATTAACTCATTCCGCGGTTAACCCATATAACGAGTAATAACACTTCACATAAACCAAATACACCACTTAAAATACCCTTCCGTTCGATGCAGCAATGAAAGTTTAATTAAATATGAAGCGTATCGATTGCACCCCTAAATATTTTGACTGACTAACCGCCATGCCAGTCACACAGTGTGACTCACTCTGCGTATATTTGGGGCAAATGTGACAGCCGCCTGTCCGCATGCTAACCTGTTGCTTGGTAATGTAGATAGGCTTGTTCAGTATCGTCCAGGTGACAGTTTCATGACAGGCGGGCATCGTAGTCGAGCCGTCGTAGGTCATGTAGTAGTCGGTGTCTGGTAATAGGCCCCTCACTGACAGCCGCTTCACTTCAGCTTCGTCACCTAAGAAGACATTATTAGTAAAGTAGTCAACAATCGGCGGTATACTGTTTAAAATATCTGTGGTGTGAAGAGTAATCTTAAAATGGTGTCTAAATCCAACACCAAGTGGTGTTAATATAAACACCATGAATTATCGTTCAAAACGGTGTTTATCTAAAAATATTTGAGAAGTGCACCCACACAGAAAAAAAGGAATAGTTCATTTAACTATATTAATTTAGTTGTCCCATAAGTATTTATTTAAATCAACTGTGGGAAGGTTAATTTAAACAAAAATTAGTTTGACGGTACTAAACCAGATAGTCATTTTATTTTATTTAAATTGGTTAAATTAAACCAGAAAACTTTAGTGAAACCAACCCGCTGTATGGTTCAGTTTACTAAATACGTTGTTTGTAAAATAAGAGTTACCTCAAACTAAAGCACTCTGTTAAAACGAGTAAAACAATTTGCCGTGCATTCCTGGTTGCATAGTATGTACCGATCGCGGCAAAGGCGGTGTGGATCACGTGATGTTCTTAAATCTCGCCTCTGTTGACTTACATGAAGAGTATATAAGCTTGCTTTGCTTTGGTGTGACACTACAAGTTGTTCGATACTAAAGATACCTTAAATAGATGGAAACAGCTGTCAATACTTGAAGTTGGTGGAACGCACTAAAAACATTATCTCTATAGCGAGTTGAAGGTTCAATTTTCTGGAATAATACCACTGGTAATATACTAGTAATGCGTCAAGGAACTTCTTGTTTTCTTTTTTTTTCCTTTTTTTCTGTGTAGTATGATTTATTTTGACCAAAAACACATAATATTTAACACTGAAAAGGAGTTCAATTTACACCAGGTAAAATTTATTTTAATACTGTGTGAAAGTTAAATTTACACTATTTTAGTATTTGAATTTACACTGAACCAACGTACCATATTTAACACCATTTTGGTTCGTATCGATATAAACCATGTATGGTGTTAATTTGGTGTTGTATGCAACCCATTATACATTTTAGGATGTGTCTACTGCTCCTCAGCAGCAACTAAATAATATTTAAAAAAAGCACAAATAATTTCCACATTCGTGATAAAAAATATTTATTTATGTATCAAGGCAGTACATTTTTTAACCTATCTATATAATTTTTCATCTTTTAAGTTGTAATAAACGTATACAGCGTTTTAATATGACTGAAAAGCCCACCCTGTATACAAATATTGTAGCTGCCTGAATAAAAATTTTTAGTTTAGTCCAGTAATAAATACAGGGTGTTTAAAAAAATTAAATAAAAATACTTATTTTACAATTAATTAATTAATTTTATCAGTTTAAAATTAAATTTCCTTCTGAAACAAGAAAAAACTTGCAAGCAAGTCTTAGTCATAATGTTCTTTAAGTTTTTTCGCGCCAAAAGTCTGAGAAAAGAAACTCGGTTATGAAGTTTTACGAGTGGCTGTTTTATTAGTTTAATGGCTTTTAAAATTTATTTAATTCGGGGCTTTCACTCCTTTTAAATTCGGTTTTCTTAAAAAATTGCTTCTAATTCGATAATGTTCCTGCAGGACTTTTTCAGGGCAGTTTTTTATACAATGCAATTTATAACGGAGACAATTTTTTTTATAAAATTACAACTCATAATATGATACAATGTTTTATGGTTATTTAATGTTTTTTTTTACATACCTCCATATCGTATTTTGTCCAGTTGATCTGTCAGGATTCTTAATTCTGGATTTGAAAGATCTCCAAGCTGAAAAAAATACATACATGTTAAAAAATAGAAGGTTCCTAAGCTTCTCAATTAAGAGATGCAGTTTTCTTGTTAAAGTCGGTGTCAATTGGTGTAGGGAAATATTTTTAATATTTGTTTAAAAAGTTTTAATCACAAAATGACACAATATTACGAGCTTTGAAAAAAGCCGATGTAGTATTTTTAAAAGCTCCTTTAAGTCGCCATCGTTGTCGTCTTCGCCGCCTTAGACTAAAAGCACAGTAAATATGCATGGGACAATTTGGAATACACTTCTGGGGACGAAAAATCGTCGTAAAATTACGATAAAATTCGCCGGTACCGCGCCAACCAAGTGGTCCTAAGAGACGCTAAAGGAAAAGTGGATACCACGCAATGTTGCCAAATCAGCAAAAATAATGAAAATTATATTTCATTTGATTAAGTCACAATTACACTTTTTCACACATTATTTTCAGCTAAGCAGATCAAAAATTTTTGAAATTTTAAAAAATAAGTGGTTCCAGCACTTGAGAAGGCACCACGCGAGAGCGAGAGCTCTTAAAACGTAAAAGTTTAAATATTAAAGCCAACAATAATTTTTAAAATGTGCAAACCAATTATAGTGAAACAAACAATTTTCATAGAGTGCAAACTAAAATGGTGCATCGGTCAATGAGGAGTGAAGTGTAAAGAGATGAATGAGTTAAGTGCCACCTGTCATTGGACGCTTTTCACTGGACAAACAAAGGAGGTCAAACAAGAGGGGAGGTGGCCATCCGCAAAAAATTGATAAGTAACCTTAAGCATATGCATGACCAAACACATAATCTGCAAATTAAACACGACAGATATCTTTAAAACCCTAAGAAAGGCACACTGCGTAGGACAATAAATCTGTCAACAACAAATGCGTAAGGCAAACCCAAAACGAGACCAATAATAAACACTAGACACACAGACATAAACTTAATTGAATTTTTAACTACGAATTTAACAGTGTAAGGAGTATTCTGGCAGATATGGCAACATGGTGTGGGTAAGGTGGTCTGAGGAAGCTTCTTGGCCTTGTTTTAGTTATGCAAATGGCATTGTAGTCCAAGTTTTAAAGCGTTCTTTAAGGGTAGCCGAAGTAATCATGCAAATTTGGACCATCCAGCTAGCCGTTATTGTAATTGTGTTTTTCAAGCGACGCGTCGCGACGCTACAGGATAAAGGAACAGGACCTTGTGCGCCGCGACGCCACATTATGCACTTTAATTTGCTCTGCTACCTTATTTTTGAATAATCACGCGAAAAATTATTCCCGCTTGTAAACTTTGTAAAAGTTTTGTAATAAAATGTTAAACCTTACAAGATGATTAGATAAGGATACAAATTTTTTATAATTTGAATTAAAAGTTTTACTAAATAAAATTTTAATCAAACAAGAATATACGATTATGACTAATATAGCGGGTATGTGACACGGGAAATTTGAATAACTCATTATGAAATAAGTTCATTATAATTTAACGAACAAACTTTTCATTAATGCAAATCTGTTTAAAAAAGTGCACATCGGTCAGAAACCGTGCAAATTGCGAATACTCACACAACCCCGTTAGTGCACATACTCGTATGTTTGCTTTTATATTTAATACAAATTTTATTATGATGTTATTCGCTCATCACTGTTCAGTTTGTTTAGCGATTGTGTTGAGCATATACAGTAGACTGGGCCAAAAAAATCTACTATTTTTTTTTGTAAAGTATATCGGGGTGACAAAAAAAAAATTATGGTGAAAGTTTGAGTCCATAATATTAATATTAAGAGGTCTATCATCGCAATTTTAGATTTTTTTTTCCTGAGCGAGTTTTGGTCTCAGAACTTCCAAACCATTGAGTTTAACAAATTTGACTCAGGTATATTTTTTGAAGAAAATTGAATGCTCTACAAAAAAGGTTTGATTGGAATTTCCCGTCAGATGAACCGTTTTCTTACAATCATGCCTTAAAAATTTATATAGTTTTACAATTTCATCTTTTAACTTGGAATTTTGTAATTCATGTAAAAATCAGTACCCGAAAAAAAACCGATAAATATTCTTATGGGAAATCAAATTCTCTACAAAAAAAGTCTTTTATCATTTTTGGCTAAATTCACTCTATCAAAAGTTATTCAAGGTTAAATTTCAAAGTCAAAACGAAATTTTAACCTTGAATAACTTTTGATTGAGTGAATTTAGCCAAAAATGTTGAGAGGCTTTTTTTTAAGCATTTGATTTCCCATATGAATATTAATTGGTTTTTTATGGATACTGATTTTTACATGAATTACAAAATTCCAATTTAAAAGATCAAAATGTAAAACTATACCAATATTTAAGGCATGATTTTAAGGAAATGGTTCATCTGACGGAAAATTTCACTTTAACTTTTTTTGTAGAGAATTTAATAAATTAAAATATTTTCGAGTCAATTTTGTTAAACTCAATGGTTTGAGAGTTCTGAGACTGCTGAGGAAAAAAAATTAAAATTGCGATGATAGACCTCTTAATATTAATATTATGCACTCAAACTTTCACATGAATTTTTTTGTCACCCCAAACCATATTTTTGATATACTTAAAAAAAAATAGTTGATTTTTTTGGCCCACTCTAATATACAGGGTGTTTTACATTCGTTTCCCAGAAATGGACAACGAATGTAAAACACCCTGTAGTTTGCGCCAATTTAATCCGATAAATTTAATTTATTAGCGCCCAAACAAGAATGTAATAAAATATTTACGGTTTTTGCTAAAAAGTTTCCTTAAAGTTCCCTTAAAATTTACAAGTTTTTCCATTATAACTTTTTCCCTATTTTTCGCCACAGTTAAGTTTTGTGGAATTGGCCTAATTCCATTTAAAAACAATAAAAACATTTCAAATGCATGCACCAGATGCACTTATTCACTTAGGAACAATACTGTAAAAACCATTTGCTTTTTAAAAATATTTAAAGTTATAAGTTTAGCTTAAAAGAGTATTTATTGCTTGAAGAAAAAAGTTCTTAGTGGAAGAAGTATAGTTCTCTTGAAAACAAATAAAAAAATCTGTGCAAAGTGTTTTCGTTTAAAAGCTATGAAAATTATTTATATTTACGCAATTCATTCAAGATACGAGGTGTGTTCACTGAACACTGTTCAGATAATAACGGGAATTTTTAATTGTTGTTATCTTGGACCAAGATTCTTGGTATACATGCCCCCGAAGTATGATAAAAACTTTAGCTGTTTTCATTGTTTACTTTGTCTGTGGCAGCCGCTAAGGTTAGACGTGTTTTATGAGCTCGGCGATTTTTCGTCCTTTATAAAAATGGATCAAAAAATTTGTATCCAATTTTGCTTAAAAAATTAAATAAATCCTGTGAAATGTTAACAAAGGCCTATAGTGAGTCTGCTATAAGTAAAACAAGAGTTTAGAAGTGGTGTAAGAGGTTCCAAGATGGCCGTGAAGACGTTGAAGATGACGAACGCCCCGAACGCACAAGCACATTAACAACCGACAAAAACATGGAAAAAGTGGAAGAAATGGTTATAAACCATCAGAGAAGTCGCTGATGATGTTGGTATATCGATTGGCTCATCCCATGAAATTTTTCGAATGTTTTGTGTATGAAACGCGTGGCAGCAAAATTTGTTCTAAAATTGTTAAATTTTGAACAAAATTTTTGTCCAAAAACAATACTGTAATGATGCCCCAGGCTCCATATTCGCCAGACATGCCCCAAAAATAAAGAGAACCTTAAAGGGCCGTCGTTTTGCAAGCATAGATGACATTAAAAGCGCATCGCTGAAAGAACTAAAGATCGAGTTTTAGAAGTTTTTCGAGTATTGGAAGAAGAGCTGGCACATGTGCATAATATCCAATGGGGACTATTTTGAAGGCGACAACATTAATGTGGACGAATAAATAAATATTTGTTTCAAAAAACGAAAATTCCCGACATTTTCTGAACACAAGACAACTAGCTGAAAATACCTAAAACAGGGTATTCATTTTTGAAATCAGTTTCCTTGGTATTTTCTTGCTAAAGTTTACGTAATTTAAATTAGGGGGCCCATATCTTCTTGGGCGTTAATAAGATTACTCTTTCGATTTTCTCCACGCTCACACTTGGTAATTTGCTAATACACCCAGTGCAAAAGATTATTTCCCTGCCCCTTCAAGCAGAACTAAATGAGCAAATTTCAAATTAAACCCAACCAAGTTTGCCTATGAGTAAAAGCATGCATGCTCGCGCTTATACGTTAACTGCTTTGAGGTGATCAAAAAAAATGTTAAGTGAAGTTTATTAGCTATTTGTAATTAGAATATGATCTATAAAACATGTGTCCCTAAGAATCCATTATGACACAGAATAAAATTACTACATTTTTACTAAGCAGTTGCATAGTGAATTTACAAAATGTTGTAGCATTATTGTAATATTACATTTTGTTTTGTCAGATACTTATAAGTAATTTTACAATTCTGCAGTGGCGGCCCGTCAGGGGAGGCAGGTGAGGCAGTGCCTCATCATAGAGGATTAAACAATTAAGTATAATTTAAATATTTTACTTTCTATAATATACTATAAATTTTTAATATTTGGATTACATGTATTGTGAAATAGTCAATAAAATTGATTGATTTTATACGTGGAATACCCAGCAACATTTAAATTATTTGATTTTAAACGACCGCAATTTATACTAATATTTATAGCTAGATGATTGGCTCAGAAGCATGCCTGAACTAATTTAGACTCACGATTGGCGTTATTTCTATTCTAAAATAAACATATTTTAACACTATCGCCATCTTGTAGCCATCACAGTAACCAATTAAATAAATACAGATTCCTTCTTTAGGTTTGTTTTGGTTATAAAATTCTGAACTGTTTAAAGAACAAATCTGTGGTTATTTATGCAATATTTTGTTTATTCTTTTTCTATGAGTTTTATTATTGCTATAGCAATAATAAAACTCATAGAAAAAGAATAAACATATATATA